ACCCTCCGACAGTTCCCACTCCCTCAGCACTGACCCTCCGACAGTGCCCACACCCTCAGCACTGACCCTCCGACAGTGCGGCGCTCCCTCAGCACTGACCCTCCGACAGTGCGGCGCTCCCTCAGCACTGACCCTCTGACAGATTTGTCACAATTTGGTTGAACAGCAGAACAGGTTGGATGGGCTGAATGGCCTGCTCCTTGCTCTTACGATGGTTTGGTTGTATAGCTCATATTGGTTCTGACCCTGAAGCCTCTTCGGTGCTCACCCTTTGGCTCCTGAACCCATGGAACAGTGTCCTTGTGGAAGAGCCACGTCCCCTTTGAGGTTCATTCCTCCAGATTTTGAGCCACGCTCACAGCGCTCCATAAACCTCAGGGTGTCCTCATTTTGTCAGTTCTTCTCTCACAGATGTGGGCATTTGGAGCAGGTAAAGAGGCCAGATTCGGAGGGACACAGAGATGCCAAGGGGTGAGGGAGCGACATTGTGATTATAGAGTGAGGGCAGGCAAAGGGGTTTTGGAAATGGAGACATTGAGCAGGAGCTGGGATCAGTCAGTGAGTACAGGCAGATTGTGAGGCACAGCCCATGCAGCAGGAATTGTGGTTTCTTTCCTTGTGTTTTGCTGAATGGTTCTTGTTTGTTGTCCTTTGCCTCCCAGAGAGAACGGTCTGTTTGCAGACCTGCATCGAGCACATTACTACCTGGGCTGTATCCACCAGGCAGAGGGGCAGTATTCACTGGCTCTGCACAGGTTCCAGTTGGCATGTAACAGTGCGAACAGGGCGAAACTGCCATCGGAGGAGAGTGAGAGCCTGACCAGCCTGGGTGAGGTGGGTGTATCAGCAGTATGTCCCACTGGGCAATTACCCCCCACCCTCCATCAGCAATACCACAGGCAGCAGGTACAGGGGAACACTGCAGCTCACCATTGACACTAAAGTTCAAGATCGTGATGGATGAGGCACAACTTCAATTCCACCTACCCCTGTAACTCCCTCAGCGCTGACCCTCGGACAGTGCGGCGCTCCCTCAGCGCTG